ATGAACTATATACAAAATTAACTCAAAATGTATTGAAATCTAATAAAAACTAAAACTATGACATTTCTGAAGAAAATATATAAGAAAGTCTTTGTGATTTTGGAATAGACAAAGATTTCTCCTAACCATAAAAAATATTAACATATTGGACTTTATCAAAATGTAAAACTTCTGGGCTTTGAAATAGAACATTAAAAAAGATAAAAGGCATGGCTTAGATTGGGAGAAAATACCTACAATACATATACCAGAAAAAGGATTTGTATTCAGAATATACAAATAAGCCTTTAAAATTAATTAGGCAACTAATTTTAAAATGGGCAAAAGATTTGAACATAAACTTCACAAAAGAAGACATACAAATAAGTACATGAAAAGATGCTTAACATCCTAATTATTAGGGAAATGCAAATTTAAAATCAATGTCCCAAAAACACCCACTAAAATGTCCAAAATTAGAAAGACTCACAACATGAAGTGTGTGTGAGGACATGGAGCAACTCTGCAGAATTCTGATACATTCCTGGTGGAAATGCCAAAAAAAAAAAATTCTGAACAACAATTTGGCAGTTTTTTATGAGATTAAATAACACTTACTATGTGATCTACAGTTCCACCCTGAGGCATTTACTGAAAAGAAATTAAAACCTATGTCCACACACAGACTTGTATGTGAATACTCATAGCAGCTTTATTTGTAATATACGAAACCTGGAAAAAATCTAAATGTCTATCACCAGATATGGTTAAACAAATTTTGGCATGTCCATGTAATACCAGTCAGAAATAAAAAGGAATGAAGTATTGATATATGTGATGTAGATGAATCTCAAAATAATTATGCTGAATGAAAGAAGCCAGACAAAAAAGTATATACTGCATGATTCCAATTATAAAAAATTCTAGAACATGCAAACTAATTTTAGTTGACAGGAGGCAATCAGTGGTTTTGGAGGAGGAGGGATTGCAGAGGGGTGTGAGGGACTTTTTGTAGCGATGGCTGTGTTCACATCTTGATGGTCATGATGGCTCCATGGAGGTATACAGGTCAACTTAACATTTTGCAGCTTATTGTATGTAAATTGTACCTTCATAAAATCAATTTAAAAAGAGAAAAAGTCAGCTCTCCATTAACCTTTTCTTACTTTCTTACTAAAGGTTAACATCTTTCTTACTCTATTCAATATGTCTGACTCTGCATGTGTTACTTTCAGATGACTCATTCCGGACTCGTAATGCCAGTAGTGTTCCAACTTCCTTTTCTCCTAGTATGCCCTTACCAAGTACCTCCCGTGGGACAGCTAACTCAGTTGATCCCAAGAGCAGTGGAAATAAAGACACGCAACCACGGAAGGCTACCTTGTAAGTAATCAAGTGATGTCCTACTGAATGTATTATTCTACTCTTTTTCTCAATACACTTTCATTCCCACTTAAATCCTTTCCAAAAAATAGAAAATGTCTATAATGAGGAAATGTTACAAGTTAAAGGGCATTATTATCACATGTGACTCTGTTATGTTAGATAGTTTATATAGGATGATTTTATATGGCAAAGGCATTGTTTGTAACCTGAGGTAATCAACAAGGAACATTTAAATGGCTCCCACTAGTATATGAGATCTGTTTTTTTCTATGAAATGTTTGCATTCAAGGAATTTATCTCTGAGAAGGCTTTAAACATCCCTTTAGACATCTAGCTTAAGTATACCATAGTCAATCATCCAGTGCTCAGAAAGATGGGTACAGCTGATGTCACTGAAGAAATATTACTGCAGCAGAGAACCCAGAGTTGTGGGTCCAATAAATTGGAGATATTTACAGACTATACTTGTGCCTTGAAGTTGAGGTTATAAAGGGCCTATATTTTCTTTTCCCCCATGGTTTCTTTTATGTATTATTTGTATCTTATTTGATTTGTTGAAACCTTTGTTTCCTTTAGCTTAAACATTTGAGGGGTAGTACCATAAAAATCACCATGATAAGAGACTATATCAAGGTATAAATGATTGAGCTAGGATGCCCAAACTGTAGTTACAGGTTTGCTGTTTCATTTAGGGCACCTGAACCTTCTGATAAGAATAGATTTTAAACAGAATTTAGATTTTCTTTTAAACCTGTTTCACTTAACTCATGGGCGTTTTCGAATAAAGTTTCTCAAATGCATCTTTTTGCAGAAACTCCAGGCTGGAGTCCATTTTAGGAACTGAACTATATTGTAATTTATTTCAAATTTTAATTGGCCCTTAGGTATAGACCAATATAGCTATATATAACCAACCTCACTCAGAATTTAGAAATAAATTTATTGAATTGAACTTAAGGAAAAAGTAGGACTATATAATACAAAAAGTAATAGTAATACAAAAAAAGTCATATTAATATTACTGATTAGTAGTGTTAATACAGATGGTACCTTTATTTACAGAGAATACTCTTTACCTGTAGAGCAATAACTTTACAGAGAATACTCTGAAATGCTCTTTTATTTACAGAGAATACTCTTTACCTAGTAGAGCAATAATTATTGCTCTACTAATTATTCTATGGAAGTTCCATTTAAAACTCAGGAAAGTAGAGGCAGGACAGGGTAATGGTCTGTGGAGAGCACTGAGCTGGAGCCTTGTGTGTTCCAGTTCCAGCAGCTGCTAAGTGGCTATGCACAGTTCAGTTCCCGCTCTGGGCCTCCCTGTGCACGTCTGTCACGTGATGGGGCTGACTCACGGTCCATCTTCTAAGGTGCCTTCCAGCTCTAACATCCTGAGATCCTTCCTCCCTATCACCCTAGACCTTCTTCCTCTCAAAAGATTGCCCTGAAATTCTTCTATTGAGGACCATATTTAGTAACATTAGAACTAATGCATTCTCTTCTTCACCTATTTTTCTAAATGCCATAGGCATTTTTTAAAGTAAAGACCATTGAAACCTAATATATTTATGCCAGCTTTCTATTTCAGATTACTATCTTTATCTGTTCTTTCATTGTTGAGCATGTATTTCCTTTTTACAGACTGAATTTTTTCTTGCTCAATATATGTAACATAACATTATTTATATAATCAATTATGTATATGTAATTGGTGATTTAAAAATGAATCTAGAAACAAAGACTCTGATAACAAATCACATAAGGTTTGTTTCTTCTTTTCTGACTCTGAAGGAGGAGGAATGTTGGTATCCACAGCTGCTTTTTTAACATGTGACTGGATATACAAGTCTGTAACTGTATTTCCGTATAATAGGCCTCTAATACATACTCTCTCATGAGTGCACGCTGCCGCATAGCTGGAGTAGGTGATTGATATCTACAGTGGTCTTTTTTCTGTCAAGTATTATCTACAGTTAAGAGCCATGCCGTATCCAAATGAAAATGTGTCCTTTTTATTTAAACCTATATGAAGTGATTTCAGAAAGTATTAATTATCTCAATTTTAGCTTCTCAAAAAAGTTCTATGCAATACATTTTCTAGCTTTTCAGTGTTAATAGATGACACATCTGTACTTAGAAATATTAATGTCTTTAAGTACAGGTATGCATTATATTAATATCTTTTAAGAGCAGACAATATGTTTAGGCCTGTGTAATTTCTGTTATGGTTATACAAAATTTAAAAGGTAGGAAAAGTTGTATGAATTAAATTGAATGCTATGTTAAGAATACATAGGATTTTTGGTAATTAAGGGTAATTCCAAGTAATCTTTAATGTGTAATTCATTTTTTCCCTTAATTAGAATTCTCATATATTAGTTTTATTCAAA